TGTGGACACATTTCAACCTCACCAAATCTGCTAATTATTGACAGTTGGTGAAGAGGAGATTTCACTTGTTCCTCCTGTTAAACTGCATCTAATTAGTAATTACTGGTTCACTGTCATCTTTACTGCAATAATCCCACTGCACATTGGCTCATTAACCTTTTGCTTTTCTAAAGCAGCCTGCCAACAAGATGAAGGCTAAAACAGATTGGAAAACAATAGCTCAGCCTTGGATTTTAGGCTGTTTATTCCCCTTGTCCTGGAGATCCAAAAGGAAGATTATTTTTAAGAAAAGGCTTTCAGCTGAAATCAGCCTAATTCCGGAAGATGGCTTGTTTTGCCCTAACTAGCAACCAAGGCCCTTTAAACTTAAACCCATGGTGAGGGCATGTGTATTATAGCTAGTGGAAGGGTTTCTCTGCCATCAGCTCTTGCTTCAGCTTCATTTCTCACCTGGGCTTATCCTTCCTTATCAGCACGATCCGGTACACGAGGCATGGGATGAGGCAAGTTTCAGTGGGTTTGTAGCACCCTGCAAGTTCAACAGCATCCTTTTGGATGCTGAAAAATGAATGATCTGGATGAGCAGGGACCAAAGGGTGGAAAATCAGTGGAGCAACCCCATGGTTCTTTCTTTTGCTGCTACACTGAATTTCATTTGCACAAGTCCCATTTTCAGTTTGGAACTGTCACAGCTGTTTCTATTGGCAGTGCATAGCTGAGTAGGAGTTGTCAGTGGGGATGCTGTAGGATAGGCAGCTAGAAAAGAGATTCCCCGGGGGGCATGGGAGGTTGTGGGCTAAATGCATTAACTAGATGTTTCTCCCAAACTTAACAGCAGTGGATTACTTAATGCATATTGATGCATTTAGGTAGCAGACTTAACACTGTATTGGGATGAAAAGTGTATTTCTCAGCATCTTAAGCGTGCTTAGTTGCAAGGACCCAGGTCTTTATGGCTGACCCTAGGGGGTTATTTTTATAAGGTGATCTTCAAAACCATAACATCTAGAAACAAGCTGTAATTCTGAAGCACCATTGCAGACATCAAAGTGGATTCCATCTGTACAAAGTCGAGGAAGGTATGAGGTCTTAGCTTAACTAAATACTGACCAAAGAGAAGATCTGGACGCATTATCCTTTCCAGCACACGAAGGCTGTTCAGCTCCAGACTTTTCATTTAGTTGATATTGGTGTTCTGGTATGCAACCAGAGCTGAATTCTGATTTCTCTTAAGTTACTTTAAAACAGGTATAACCCTGAAGCAGCTACAGCTGACGTGATAAGGTGGCTGCATTTATCTAGCACATTTATTAAATCTATTGCAAGGCTTCAATTCTGCTTGAAAACTAATTGTAAGTTTGAGCCCATTTAGGAAAGTGGATCAAACGCAGCCAATCAAGCTCTCATGGTAAAACAAGCACTTAATAACACATCAGCTTCTGTGTTTGCTCTCTGACTAAAGAAAAAGGACTGTGAATCTGTGATTAAGGGCAGAATTTGGCTCATTTACAATTCCTGAAAGGGTTGCTGCTCAGACCATAATCATATTTTTGGAACAGAACACGCCTATTACATCTTGTTGTTAATAATTTACTCCCTGGGTGGTACTCATTACAACAGCATCATCTCAGTCGTGTTATGTTCATAGCTGCTTCACCTACTGCAGTTACGAGAAGAGGCAAATACACACATGCCTACATATATACACATGCATATACATATAGAGAGAGGTCAATGTTCAAACACTCAAAGTCTATTACCTTAGTTATCGGACAAGTTCATAGACCAACGACGAGTGACCAAGAAGTGACACGTTTTGAGAAACACTCTTTGCAAGGAAACTCAGATTTCCTATCCAAGACTGTGAAGAAATGGCTCTGGAGAGATTGTTTCAGATAAATGACTTGCTCTGCTCAGTTGAGCATTCCCACAGTCACTGACCACTGAGATCTCAATGAGATTGTGCAGAATGAGAGGAACGCCCTTTATACACACTCACTCACATTTATAATGAATGAAAACATAACTGGAAGACTGATCAGACCAGGCTGCTACGCAGAACCTGATTCCTTGGTGTCAATGGATGTGAGGTCCAGCTGTACACATGGAGCAAACTCCAGCTGAGTGGAGCCGAGACCCCAGTAGGTAATGAGCGATACCACCAGCTGTAATGGTTTCTCTTCATGGACACGAAGCGTGGGCAGAGAGCACGTCATTCTGTTTGATCTACTAATCAGCACTGATTCATGTTTACACTGCAGATAACATTTCATCTGCTTTTAGAAGGTCATTTTCAAGTGATGCTGTATGGTTTCAGTATTGCCTGATGCCTGCAATTTGAATATCCCTTGAAGGAAGCCAGACCTTAATTTTCCTTGTGGGCTAGAATTCATTCAGCTGTTAGCATCAACACAATTTCTCAAGCTGAATATCAGACACTATACGTTATAAACTATCTGTCATCCATAAAGCTATGATATAAAAGGCAAAAAGACCTTGTGAGCTTCATTTTTAGATAAAGAAACTAAGGCAATGAATAATTATTTTTGTAGAGCCCAAAGTGTTTAACTCTGAATGCCTCAAATTCTGGTACAAAAACGTTAGTTCCCACTGACCTTAGTAGGCACTTAGTATGTCTGAGAAGCCCATGACAAGCGATGCCTATACAAAATACTGGAAATGTACAAAATGCTAAATTTCAAAACAGAATTGTAGGGCGAGTTTCATGTCTATCTTGAAAGAATGGTTTGGTTTGCCCAACACTATTAAACATGTGCTTCGTCAGTGAGAAGGGAGAAAATACACAATGACTGCCGCTTAAGGCTTGAGATGACACAAAGTCTGGGAAAGTGGTAAATCATTAAGAACCCAGGTCACTGATACAGAGGCCTCTACATATGTAGAAATCAAGTCAATGTGCAATGTACTATGGTCAAACATAAAATTGCCTCTGGACGCAAATAGTGCACCTACGGCATGGGGCACCATTTTGGAAGAACAGTGGCAATATCACCCTCGGGGTAAATAAGTTTGGTGGTACCTCCTGTGGTCTTGCTTCCCTGATTACCTTGAATGGAGACCTCCCAGAAAAGGTCACGGCTACCTGCTGATGGGTGAAGCTCCTTTCCCTGGAAATAGGAGCATAAGGGATGCTCCATGTCCAAGTCTCCTTCCAACAGGAACTTTGGACATACTCTGGGCACGTACCTTGAATGGGTGTGAGACCTGGAAATACTCCTCAGTCTTTTGTAACCAAAGCCTCTGAGCAGAATTCGGGATCACAACAAAAAATGATGGACAGGGAGCTAAGGTTGAGCTCATGCCAAAATGACTAACATGCTCTGTGGATGTATGAATTCAAGTAGAAGCCGGCAAATCACATTGCTTCTTGCAACTGGTACTTGTGCAACTTCTTACTGGAATACTGTGTCTGGTTTTTATGGAAGTGCTCCAAAAAGGATGTTGACTAATTAGAAAAAGTTTAAGGAAGAGCCATATGAATCATTAAAGCTTCAGAAAACACGCCTTTTAGCAAGAGACTCAAAGACTGAGATATATTCAGTTTCTTAAAGAGAAGATTAAGGGACAGTTTTATCTCAGCCTGTAAACAGCTAGAAGGACAACAGAAAATTTTGTAACAGGTTTTTCAGTCTAGCAGACAAGCGTACAACAAGACTCCTTGGCTAGAAGTCGTGGCTAAACCCATCCAGACCAAAAAAAAAAGGAATTAACCAGCAGAGACTGTGATACCAATTGCTGATCAACTGTTCTAGTTGGCACAAAAAGAACTTCAGCATAGCCCTTTGCTCTGCTTGATAGAGGTTTTACCACATTGTAATAGTGACGCTCTCTGTAAATGTACAAATTTACAATCTGCAAATCTATAAGCTACAAACACTGAATGGTCAAAATTATTGCCTTACAAAAAAAAACCCCACCAAAACACCACCTTAGCAATTTGTTCAACTAACTTGGGTATGAGTGATTTCATTAGTCATTCTGCCTGTTTCCTTGGCTAGCTTTCCTCTGTTCACCCCCAGGCTGTATCTTCCCAGAGTCAGGCTAGATGACGAAAAGGCAGAAACCCTCAAAGAAGCCCTGGAAAAGTACATCCACATCAAATGTGTATCACAGGCTCTTTGCTTAATGGACAAAGACTTGTTTTCATTATGTTAACACCAAGGAAACACCACTGTCATGGGAGCTGGTGAGCTGAACCATGTTCTCCCCAGTGCAGCTCAGCTCTGACTAAGGTCACATCCCCAGACAAGACAGGATGAACCCAGCTGGAGTCTCAGAGCAGAAGTCATCAGTCAGAAACACCAACATACCTTGACTTGTGATCTGACCAGACCTGACCTGGGTATCTCTAAAGAGGGACCAGATACCCTCCATGCTAGCCAAGACACTCCTCTGACTGGCGATCGAGCAAGTAGAACATTATCCTCATACATTAAAAAAACCCCACCTTATTCCAACCTGTTTGTCTCCCTGATTGCTGCTGTTTTGATTACTATACATTATTAGATTACTATACTATATCTAGTCTAAAATTCCTCCACATGCAAGAGGTCTGGAGCAGACAACCCCTGTGGGAGAACAACGGACATGATGGAAGGGCGAAGGATCACACAAGACCATCCCTTGTCTTTAAAAGGTGCCTTTGCTGGGTGGAACCAACGTTGCTCTGTTCAGTTCTTCCTCTGTTCTCTTGGAAGGTACATCCCACCACATGATCCAAACACTGGTTAGAAGTATGGAAAAGCCATGTGATACTAATCTGTGCTATGCCAGCATGTTAGTCCCCAGGAGGGACTAACATAACCATTAACTGCCCAGTGAATCTGCACTTGTTCAAGTGATGAAGACAGCAACTGACTTCATCTAAAAATGGAGGAGGCCCCATAGGAATGAGACCGTTATCCAGGAAGGCAAAACAAGCAATGGTATTGGTAAACCCCTCTGAGATAACCCACCACAGTGACCAGACATGTACTGACCTCGGACATCTGCGGGAAGAGACTGATGGCCAAGGGGAGGGCCAGGCCAAAGGCAGCGAGGCACACAAGGCTTTGGACCGGGAGAATCATCCGGGGACGCGACCTCAGGAGTGATGTTCTGGAAAGAAAAGGCTTTGTTAGACCATTTCATAGACTAGGTGAGTGCATGCTGTCACCAAAACAGACACCCAGGCCTGCTGGTCTCCCTCTCCCTAACTGGTCTATGTTCCTTCTTAGTAGGTCATCAACAATTTCACCCACAAAAGATCCCGAGTCCTGCACACTGTGCTTTTGCATCTGCTGGGGTTACACAGCCCATGCCAACCTAATTGCTCATTCCTCCTAAATTAAAAAAGGATCGTTTCATGCACGCTTCTTCCATTTCAAAACATCTCACATTGGAGTAAATGGCACACGAACTGATCTGGCCACATGCAGCTGTCACCTGCATTAAGACTTTGGAGACTATGTTGAGTGAGCAGAAGGAAATTAGGTTCTTAAGAGATATTGTGAACTTTGTTGGCCCTGTCATGAAGTGGTACTGAAAAATACACACGACTTTGTTAATGGGGTAATAAAGTAGTGAACTTGACAATACCTTAATTTGTTAAAAATCAAACATGTGCAGAGTGGGTGATAAAGATGTTTTAACACTTGCTGTCCCCAGGGGATATTTATGAGTTCAAGACTTGTTAACAGCAAACACTTTAAGATACCTGCAAGGTCAGGTTCTGACAATGACCCATTAAGTGACCCCTCTGATGCAATTAACACCAAATGACAGGGACAACATTTAGCTGGTAGAAGGTGGCATGTTAAGTATATTCCAGGATACAGCACCTCAGATAGTTTACAAATGTTTAGGGGGAAAATGTAATTTTCAGGGGTTTGTTCTGGAGCTATTTGCACCAAAAGGACACAGGTTATTCACCTTTTTTCTACCAATCCGAAACAACCAACAATATAAACCAGCGACTTGATAGTGAGTTTTGTTTGAATATCTGGTTTCTATTAGTAACATTGAAAGTCAGCAGATTCGCTGTTGGGTCATCAGCTATGATCTTAAGTCCCAATGTGCATCTTTCCTCTGTACATCCTGATCTTGAGGATGCCAATGCTTCATGGTGTCCTACCATCAAACATGGGCAACGATCTGCTAGTTAACGTCTTTCCACTAGGGTGATAACACAGGAGCTCTCTTTTGGTCAAGGAAGGTACAATCAGATTACATTAACTGCTAAACATCACTGTCTGTTACTGTTACTATTACCAGGGTTTTAAAAAGCATTTCTAATCCAATGTGCACCATTCACAAGGTGCCCACCAAAAACAAGACAAGCAACCCTTCCCACATCAGGGCACGCTGCTAGCCTGCTTTGGCACACGCACAAGTGATTTTGCAGGCACAAGTGATTTTGCAGGCACATCTCCCTGTGCAGCCTGTGCCTGTAGCCAATGCAAGATAACAGACTACCTCAGCCCCCGTCTACTCCACGTTTACTGCAGGCTACAAACACGCACCTGATGAATTATAACAGAGCAGCTGATGTGTGGGAACTTGTTACCCTGCTGTACGTTGTCTGTGTGTCTGAACATTCAGACTCTTCGCCCTTTGCTAGCAATGCTTGCTGAAAGCTGTCTTCATCTTGAGAAGGTTTGGGGGAAGTGGGGAAGCAAAACAAGATCCAGAGCCTTAACTCCTCCAATATCTCAGCTCTTCACTAATAAGCTATCGAGACGGAGTTGATCCTATCAATTTGTGCTGTGAAAGCCAAGCTTCTGTTCTCCAATATTTAGCTACTTTATTTTGCATAGAGCATGATCTAACTCCTGCAGAAGTCCACAAGGATTTTGTCCAAGTCAGGAAAGCAGGATAAAGAGCCCCATGCTCTTTAACAAATGCAATGTTCAAGAATTGCTATCAATAAGCTGTGATAACTAGTCCCTGGGATGCAGAGGGGCAACTCCTGGAACTGATTTATTCTCCTGCTTAAGCTGTCGTGATCCATGAGGGCCCTTGCTGAGAAAATCATATGACCAGCATCCTTCAAGCCTCCCTGGAGTACAGTTTAGAACCAAGACATCACTGCTTATACCACCCCTGACATCTTAATTTGGAAGCTGCACCCTCTTTAATTATTGCCCTGTTGGGGACCTTATAATCACCCAAGTAAAAACTCAACCAATTTAAAATGATCCCGGGTACAGTCCCCAGGTGTGATTTCCAGGAGTGCTTCAAACTCAGGCCAGTTCAAATTACAATGGCTAACCTCCTAATTAAGAAGAGTTATGGCTTGATTTAAAAGGAGAGCAGACTAATTAACACATGTAGTGTAATGTCTTAATTGGGATCCAGATTCTAAAATTTGTGTAGTTCAGAATAAATGACTCATAATTAGTCAAGAGGTCCACTTTTTCTCTGTCCCTAGGATCTTTGCTCTTGACACAGATCTCAGAAGAATATTAAGTTAAATATTGCATGCTGCATTTTGTTAGCTGTCAAATGCAATCAAAAACCCTTTTTTCACCCATTAGCCTCCCATCGGAAGTGAATGATTAGACATTTCCAAAGGGTTTAATTGCAGAGTATTATAGCAGATTAAAAATAAATAATATTAATATCCATTTGTTGAAGAGTGAATTAGTTTACAACACTGTCCTGTGTGCTCTGCCAAGGGGTTCAGTCAGGGAAGTGGAGGCTTGGACCTTTAGATCCCCCTGATAGCCCAGCTTTGCCATTGGCATCTTCCGAAGCAGACTGCTACATTCACAACAGCAAATATTATCTTACCCTACCAGTAATTCTGCAGTTGAATTGAGTACTTAAAGCTATTTTCATACAAAACCAGCAGTTTTACAGACTGTCACCATGTACACAGGACAGGACTGGCCAGGCTCTGAACTAAACCTTGGTGCTCAGATTAGACAACATGGGATTGAAAAGTTTGCACCAAGAGAAGGTCTCACATTGGGAATCTGCAGGAAGATGATAATGTGTATGTTTTATTGTTCCCAATTTTAGAAGTCAAATTTTTGGCACCAATGGTCTGCCTCACTACTATAAGCAATCCATATTTATACATCGACCTTTGGATGGCAAAGAATATGCATTTTTGCTTACTTTTACTTCCCTCCTCTGTCTTTTTTCTTCTTCTTTTTTTTTTTTTTAAACAAGATTTGTTTCTTTACTCCCCTTCAAAGCCCCCTAATGCCTATTCTTTCTGCAATTTGCCTTCATAAAATTTCCCTAGCAGATATTAGAAAGGCAGTACCGCGCTGGGGAGCTTCTGGCTTACTGATCCTAGGTAGCACTTACTGCTAGCAGATATACCTAGAACAGCTAGACCTTACGGATAACATTTCAATATGCATGAGTGTGCATGTACGTAGGTATATACACAGACACACGCATACTTGTACAGACAGTACATCTGCTCTGCAGAGACAGTGTGTTGTAGATCTTGTAAATACACCTTCATTCAACTTTCATCACATTGTTCATTAGTGGTTTAAATTTTGCATAATTTGGCAGCTGCCTCTGGCGTTTTTCAAGAGGTACTGTAATTTATTCCATATGGAAGTCAGTTGCTGTACTAAAAAGGAGTTATCAGGTTCAGTGAACCAGAGCTGTATTTGTCTAGAAGGAGGTGTCAGATGCTAAACTAAATATGACAGGAGTTAACCAAAGTCTCCCAGCTGACAGATTCTGTGGGGTTTCTGTAGTGTTTGGTATAAACAGGTTCAAAGCTAATACATACATTGCAAGACGCTGAGGATGCTGGCAGGGTAAGAAAAGCGCTGGAGGCTGAAGCTCTGGGTATCCCGAGGCATCCCAGGCTCCTCAGAGCCCAAAGTTCAAAACACCCCTCCAATGTGCAAACAAACTTTGGGGTGGCTTTCCTACCCCAGACACCGGCTCTGTTAAGAACCTCCGAGAGCCAGCACCGTACCATGTCTCTGCTTCACAGAGCCCGTCAGGTCTCTCTGCTATCTGCAGAGGGTGTTTCAGAGCTTTTCTCACTTATTTTGGGTCATTTGGGGAACGCTGAACTCCTCTAGCAACCAGCAGCTCTGTCTACTGTTCCATCCAGCCAGGCCACCGCTGTCCTCACCAAGGAGCATCTCCTGCTCTTGGCTATAGCCCCAGTGCCCCCTCCAGAGGACATAGCAGATGCAAACAGAATGAGGTTGGGGGATTTTTGTGCTTGATTGACATAATTAAAGGAGCAGTTTCAATGTTTACTCTGGAAACAGCCACAGCAGTTTAAGGTGTCACTGCTGGCAGCTGTTTAGTTTAAACAAACTTCAGCGAGGGTTTAGCTGGACGGAGAGACTTTGCACTTAAGAGGAGAAAGAGCACCTGTAGGAAATCTTTTGCATGCACTGTCAGAAGGAGAAAATCTCCAGCCAAAGGCCATGAACACGAGGTCCAGGAGGGCCTCCTACCTCACACACATTTCTGCAGTGAAAAACATGGTTTAAGCTGAAGAAAACGCCCTTCCAGCACCACAACACCATGGGCTTAGCACTGGCTATCCATCAAGAGAGTCCATTTTTCATGGTTAGACTGAGCTAAGCCGGAGCAGCTCTGTAATGTTGATCTAGCCAGAGAGCATCCACATTTTATGAGGTTTACAGGAAAACAGCCCTGGCAACTGTTATGTGAGGATGCTGACATGCTGTAGCAGCTCTGCCACACGATCAGGATGGTGTGGAGAAGAAGAAAGAGTAGAAACACTCCTCTTTCATAGACACAACTATTCTGGTCCCCGCTTCTCTCTCAGCTCTTGCCCACTGGCAAGAGTTCCAGCTTTCTCTCTCCTCCATAAACACCGCACAGTCAGCTCTAGGCCCTCCTCTTGTCTAGCCTGACATTCATGAGCTCTTGGAGCCCATCCTCAGACCTTCTTCCACACTTCAGACCCTCTGCCATTGCTTGTACTGTGAAGCAGAGAAGAGGCTTTAGGATAAGGAGATAAGAGGAGCTTACGTTCTTCAATCCCCACTGCCAGGTACTAGCTCAAAGTGTCCACAGCAGACGTCGCTTGTTCACTGAGCTGTGGTCTGCTTGTTCACCACTTATCCAGACCACATGAACCAAATACCACTGGATTTGGGGTCTCCCACTACAGAGCTCAGCTTACAGGGGAACCTAAGTTTGCACTTACACACAGACCTGGATGGTCTACACATAGACCAGCTGTGGCTTCAACTCTGCAAGGACTTGTGAGTTAGACAAAGACTGCTGGATGAGTCTCGGATGATGGCTGTGTAACTGGTGCTTTCTGGGAGAAACCTGTGCCATTTCTCAGATTTCATCATAACTACCAGACAAAAGGATTCGCAGAAGTATCCGAATAAAGGGAAATGTTTGAGGTACTGTAAGTCCAACTTAATGCAGTGGATGTAGCTGTCCCACAACTCCGTCACACATCTGTGACGTGGCGATATTAATGAAGTTTCCGTTGTCTGCTCCAAAGTGAGCTACATCCCATAGATGAGTCGTCTTCGTCTCATGGATGATGTGAAACCAATATTTTTCCGTATTAAAGTTGCCAACACAGATATTATTTATAAAACTTAAATGAGAATACATCTGCACAAAATAACTGACACCGTGTTCCCCGCATGGCATATGTAGTCTCAAAATAAACATTGATTCTATATGTTAGCTGCTTCAACAGAGCGACCAAGCAGCAGGAAATGCATGAAACATGGGGAAAGAATGGCGCGCTGCGGAGCTCAGCAGTGGGAGGTAACATTGAATTACTTGGAGAGCAGAGAAGGCGGCCCTGGGAGTTAAAATACACAGCAGGCAAAGAGACGAGAGAAGCCAAGAGAGCTGAAAAAAATGGCACAAGAGACGAGAGAGGCAGCTGGGGGAGTTAAAACATGCAGATGGAGAGATGGCTGAGAGAGAGGAAAGACCTGGATCCAAGTGGAAAGACGACGACCAGGAACTGGCCACTTAAAATAAACTTTTCAAATACTGAGATGAAAACGACGGAGTGAGTCTTCCGTGAATGTGAAAACCACTGCTGGGAGCACGTAGCTTGCTCCTGGGGTGGTACAACTCCCACTCAACTGCAGCACTGTCACCCACTTCCACCCAGACTTAAACACAAGGCAGAACTGCTCTCCTCCTTCGCCACAGCCCCAAATGCAAATGACTTAGTAGAGGATCCAGATTGCGACTTCTGATTCCAGATCTCCAGCCTCCAAATAATAAGCCGTCACTCTCGTCTTTCTCATTTATAGACACTAAGGATTTCTATAAATAAATTGATAATGCATGCCTTGATATGACTCCCATCAAAAACGCCCTAGTTTAACTAAAATTCTACTAAATTTAAGAAGTTAAACTTTTCGCCAAATGCTCCAAGTTTTTTTTCCCAAAGGAGGTTTCACCTCTGACTGTGTCCTTCAGTAACCACTTTAAAAGATCTGTGAGTCAACACCTGGACTGCAAATCCCTTGGCTATGGAAAGGGATGCTCTCCGTGTCAGGTGGATACTTCCACATCCTACAGCGACACCACCACCTCTAGCTGCGGGGCCAAACTGCACCCCACTCCCTGTCCCAGCTCTTTCTCACTCACAGGCTTCCAGGAATCCAAAGATATTTGATGGAAAATGAAACAGTAGGCACAAAGCTCTAAGTAGAATTTAGGCAGGCATAATCAGTGCCCAGAAATTTTTATATGTACCCAGTTTCATTTAGGGGTGGTGGAGAGGAAAGCATTCTCTCGCAAACCTGAATTAAGTCTTTCTATTAGTCAAAATGATGACATTTTGAAGATAATCTCCTGTATGGCCACGTTTGCTTGACATAAAAAATTAGTTTTGATGTCTTGCACAGTGCACAGGTGCATTTAGTAAAACTCATATAAATACAAGTAGTTATGATGCCCCCAAGTACAAAGCAAATTTTACTATTAGTTTTATTTAAGCTTGGGGATGCTTAGCAAGACCCATGATGGTCCTCAGGATTTCCTGTTGGAGACAATAATTTAGAGATCAGTTTTCTACAAACTTTGAATTTTGGCACATAATAATTTTTGTCTGTTCATATTGATAACCAGAATAGCAAAGATCCTCTGAACCACAGCGATAAAAGTTTGTCCTCTGAGGTGATCTTTCTTGGATGAGCTAATCACCAATGTATGGTTACCGAAATCACTGCCCATGTTAAGCCAGCAGTAACACAACGCAGTAACAGCCGGTTCGGTGCAAAGCCTCGGTGCAACAGAAAGGGGAAAAGAAAGAGCTCTGTAGTAAGAACATCATAAATCAGTGGCATTTCTGAAGTCTCTGGCATGTGGACAGATGAAAACAGAAGTCCTTTCCACTGACAACAGCAAAGCAGCTTTGATGGGATTATAAAGGCTAGAATCACACGTTTGAATTTGAAGCAGGGAAGCTGCCAAGATGCTGGGGTACAAAGATAAGTGACAATCCCTGTTCTTACACATAACTTTGAGCAAGCCCTGAGTAAGGTACTCCAGAGTAAGGTACTCCAGAGTAAGCACCTCCCCAGCCGATCCTATGGGTAGATCGTGGGTGACACAGGTCTTGGAGCAGGAAAAAGGCTGCAGAGCTTTTGTCAAGGAGGAACATGAAGTGAAAATCAAATGCTTTGCACAAAATAAGGGGGACTTGTCCTTGTGCGTCTCCAGCAGCCATCTCCAAACAGTGGCTTACAGAAAGTGTTACCAAGACTGTGCCCTGCTGGAGGGAATCACCACAGTCCCTTTGAAAAAGAGACAAAACCAGTATATTTTGGGCAAAAAGTGCTGAAAGAAAACTTATTTTACAGTTCCACAAACAGTGTCTGTTGCCCTGTTTCTCCTCACACCCAGGTCATGGGAAGAACCAATCTTGGTGAGAGCCTCTAGGTGCTGGAGTGGTACCAGTCTATATCTATGTTTTTAAATTTAGATGTTAAAAATCAGTCTCCAAATTTACAGAAGCATCCCCGACCCTTCCACCCTTCCATTACGGAGAGAAAACTGCCCAGGGGTGTTTCTACAAGGGTAAACAAGGCTAACCAAAGCTATGGGTCAATCCCTAATCGTACTAATTGCTATTTACTTTGTCAGTGGAGTGCTTTAGAGCAGCCATTATCAACAGATTTGTTTAAAGAGTGCTTCCAGCTTGGCTGTCTGGACAAAGGTAGCAAGCCCTTTAGCACCCCTATCTTTCAATGCACTAATCAGTCTCCAGAGGTTGGCAAGGTGATCCTCAACCCAGGGATCATTCACGCCAAATGAGCTGCTGATGGGTGTCCTAAGGAGCTATAGGCACCCAACAGCTCCAAACAGGCTCACAGCATCTCTGGGCAGAAGAAAAAGTAGAGGTGCTGGGAAGCAAGGTGGGAGAATGGCCAATGGACAGGGCAGTCTGGGGTTATTTTTGCTCTTAAGAACTTTGATAGGAGATAATTAGACATGAAATAGTAACCCTGCCCTTTCCTGCCCACCTTCCTAGCACTGATGCTCTACAGAAACATCTGCCTGGAGCGATTCCAGCTTAAACAGTGATGGAAAGCAAATTTCTGCTGAGTATGTGAAGCATCTATTCTTCTCAGGAAGTCTAAGGCGCAAGACATTATTGAAAGAAAGTACAAGTGAGTTCAAACAGTGCATGAGCAAGTCCAACAGCGGCCAAGGTGGTCTGGATGCAGCGTGTGGTCAGCAAGTCCCTATGCTCCCTATCACTGGCTGAACACAAGCTGAGACCTTTAGTTTGACCCCATGCGGCAGCTCTAATATTTGCTAAATGGAGGACTGAAAACTTATGGACACTTTTCCATTGAATTCAGAGAGTCTGGGGTCACACTGACCTTCTAGAATAGGGTTAGTCAAACCGCTGGGGTCTCAGAAAGATGACTTAAAATGACTTAAAATAACCACATCAATATAACACTTTAACAGCCTACAACAATGGGTCAAAAATGCTGGAACATGAACATTTTAATAAGCAAAAAAAAAAAAATAAATACTTTGATGGACTAATGCTAAGAAATAGCAATGAGTAACACCTACCGAGCATCTTTTCTACCCTCCTCTTGAAACCCATCCACCCACCCGCCCTTCATATTGCCCAACACTTACTTTTCCAGTATGGACATAATAATTGGAGGTAGAACCAGTATAGGCATTGGCAGGACCACTCTAGTCAGGGCCGTTTCTAGTAGTGCCTGAAAAGAAAAAACCAAACAAACCCAAGACATTTAAAACAAACCTCAGGATGTACCTGTGCTGAGCAATCAACGTGTGGGCACAGAAATGGTTTGGTTGGCCTTTATCCTGTTGCATATGTGAATGAATGTATCAATACACACTTTCAACTTTGCTATCAGCTATTTGTATACAACCTATTTTTGCTCCGTTGCTACAAACGATGGGCTGGAGCCCATGCTTGGTCACAAATCCAGCGGAACAAACAGAGACACCTAATAGCTTCCCTGATTTCACTTTGTGTGACCAAAAGTGCTCAAACATCCTGTCATATTCCTCTGCAAACATGTTAGTGCTGCATGGAGGAAGGAAAAAGAGGCAAAACAGCTGCCTGGAAGATGCTGTAAGGTGAAATATCTCAGTATGGGCTGAGCAGCAGCTTCAACCTCTCCTCCTTCAAATGAGTTTCAATTTCAATTACGAGCTGGGGGAACGCAGCACCATATTGCCTGCTCCAAGACTTGGTTCTGTTTTTTAATCACTGGTGATTTGTTGCAGAGCATCGTAACACACAGCGCTCCCCTCTCCCAGGAAGACACCCAACTGCAGAGCAACGGTTGTCCCTCCACTGGTGCTTTCTCCCTGGCAAGATTCACCAGGAAGCAGCAAACAGAACAGCTTGGCAGCATGATACATATAAATTCCCTGAGACGAGAGATCTAGAGAAGATCATGGGTGCTGTAGCAAGGTGTACAACCACCACTGTGTCTTCATGTACCTCTTCCAACCACCTTTGCCAGCACCCACCCGGGATGCCCCAAGCACTGTGACCACGCATGGGGCTTTGACAGACGTAGGAAGAGGATACTATAGATTTTGGATGGGAATGCTGAAACTTATGCATACGGCCAGGCTTGGGAGCACTCAATCCTTCCACACCGGCAGAAGGTCTCAGAAAGGCGCAGATGTGTTACAGTAAGGATCTGCCAAATTTTACATGACAAAACCCACTACTAAGCTATTCAGAAAGAAGCATTGGGATTAGATGGCAGCTGAGCAGAAGTTCTCAGAAGTCCCAAATTTGATGTTTAAAGTCCACCTAAATCACACTTACAGTATTTTCACTTTTAATATTTATTTTCTATGTTGTCTGTCTTCCCCTCAAGCGTTAGGATGGAGAAGGGAAGCTGGGTCCTGAAGCCAGTTAATGTAAGTGAGGAAAACTGGCTCAAATAAGTATCTCCAAGCCCTTCAACAGATTGTTTTAAGCTCCCTGTTAAACAACAATATGGAGAGATATTAGAGATCTCCCATTTCTTGCCGAGGACTGTAAATCTGTACATTAATTGCTGTCTATGAAGTGCCTTAAGAGCCTTGGACAGAAGGAGCGAGAGAAATGCCAAGCATTATATTATTAACTCCTCTGCCTGGGCGTGTGCTTTGGTACATGCTTTACATTTCAGATTAAAGCCCACTTGGAAACAACATGCCTCAATCAGATGATGCTCAGAAGACAAAACTATGTAAAAAGGGAAGAAAAGGGAATAACTGCAGGCAGATGGCAGAGAGTAGAAGGTTACGGGGAAAACAAACCAGGTGTTAGGACAAGGATAAAAACATCTGGCTACCCCTGCAAAGCTTTGGTTGGCAATTGTTAACGCAGTTTTGACATGGCAAGGGTTAAAAAGCTACTAAGCTCGAAAATGAAGTCTTCCTCATTTAGAAAAAGGTGTAAGTTATCTTTGCTTCTTATTAAAAATGAACTGCTTACAAGTTTCCACAAAGAAATCCTAAGGCTGTGAATGTATCAGAGTAGTACAGGATCTTCCTGATGTCAGTCTATGTCCTTTCAAACCATCAAGGTCAGTCACTGAATTTGCTTGCATGACACAAGCCTGTGCCCACCAGCACACTCAGTTTTGTGGCTACACAACTGCATGTGTGGGTACAAAGCAGGCATTAAGTTTTGCCTCTTCATTCTTCCCGCACGATGGCTAAAGCTCATCTATTTCTAGCTCTTTCAAGTCATCTATTCCTACAGCTGTGGGATTTGTTGAGCCCGAAGGCCAGTTGTGAACAAGCTCACCCCGAGTATTCATCAGGAACATCACAGGTACATACGTGTTTTGCAGCAATTCTGGAAGACCCAACAATGTTTCCGTTATTGTCCAAAACATCAATTCCTTCTTCCAGCTCTGTGTGCCTCATCAGGACAACATTGCAGATATTGGCACTAGCTGAGGATGAGAAAAGCATGATGATTAGCAATGCAGCCCTGGTCAATACCAAATGGCAGGCTTCTGTTCGCCGTGACAGCCCTTCAGCTTGCATCAATCTGCCAAGAAGTTTCCGCAAGTCAAGGAGCCACTTTTATACCAAGACAAAGACGTGAGTCTTAAGAGGAGAATAATAATCAAGATAATTTTCTTTTACTTGCAAAAGGATCTGCTGCCACAATCAGAAACACATTGATGCAAAAAAATACCAGTATTTCCAGATGTTGCTGTTTGGACATGCTCCCTACTCCCATAGTGATTCTTCACCTGACGTTTTGATCTACTAAGTCAAACATGCCCTTGCACTGGACTACCAGTTGGTCTTGGCCAATCAGGCACTGCTGATGATTTACAGCTGCCTCTTCTGACAGTATATCCCAGAGCTGGTTTGAACTCCCCTTACTAAGCCAGCAGACAAGCTCTTCTTAAATAATGGATTTTAGCAGGTGTGATGGAAATGCACTGCAAGGAATTTCACCGAGCTATGAAGGACAGCTTAGATCTGAGCTCTTAAAAAGGACAGAATTATTTTTTTTTTAATCAAATAAGACAAGATTGGGCTGTTTCCATGGTCACGTATTCCATTAGTAGGGGTCCTGCTGACTATTTGCCCTTATTTCACGTTTTAGTGGAAAAATGGATCTGTGGACTTATTTTCTAGTAGAGACCTGGGTTTTTTGCTTTAACAATATTTTTTCTGAACTGTGACACAAACCAGAAGCGCTTTGGAGGACTCTGGTTCCCAACATTCAAAGTTCCCAAATATCAGCCCTGCATTCACAGCGGAGGTAGAGGCAGCTCTGGTATCCTTTCTGACAACTCTCCCCTTGCCCAGCCTGTGGCTTTTGTAGGCTTCTTGAGGTGACCCCAAATTTTGCTCCTCAAGTAACATGTTAGACTTGGGGTTCAGGAACACCCTTCCCAGATGCAGCTCCCCTCCAGGGCCCAGGCACCTCTTAAATCTTTCCAAAGAAAAGCTGCTAATACCTATAAAAGTTTTGGTCTTTATACTGGTTTATACTGGCATTTTCCAGCACCACTCCAACCCCCCATTTTGTTGCAAACTTTCCAACCAGAACTAACACAAACCCACTGTTGTTGCAAGTACCACTGCTTCCAAAAATGTGTTTCTGTACTGCTTGATGGGTTAATATTCGCTAATTAATCTCAATTCATGTCATATAACAAATGTCTAATTTTTTGAGGGTGGTGGGTGGGTGAGCCCTATACGAATGCAGCTCTCTGCAATCAAGGATGATTTGTGGTGACAAATGCTCCTTACTCTCGAGAATAAGAGGAACATACACACACGCACACTCTGTCTCTCTCTTTAATATTCAAACTACCGGACCACTCTTCCCATCTATCAAAATATCTGTGTTACCAACCCTTCAGCTCCCTAATCCAAGATAAAACCGAAAACAGGCATTTCATTTAAAGCAAGTTTAGATCCTCTTTTTTTTTTTTTTCCCCCTTTTTTAACACTCACATGCCCCATCCTTCTAGCTTTCAGTCAAGACTGAACATATGAAAACACGCCAGCAGAGATGCTCTGGCCAAGCCAGGATGCACCAGCACAGGGCTCTTGCGAGATTCATGACAGGGTGTACAAACCTGAAGCTCCCACCACATCTAGATGCTTCTCTAAGTCTCTGGATCCTATTAGGGCTTCATTGACCAGGATCCAAATTCAAAACCTGATTCCAGCCCTTTTGTCTGAGACAAGCAACCGTCTTAGTTGCTCCTGTTCTGTTTTAGGAAAACACCGAGAAAGCAGAAAAAGCTGCTAATTATGGATAAACTTGGATTTTATGGAAGTCTTAAATACAGGGAGGAATGAGAAATAAATAAATATACAAATAGACAATTTGATTTTCAGAATTTGGAAATAAATTCTGATAATATAGACTGGAAAATACTTCTGTGAAAACACGTAGTGACATAGTGGAAACTGGGTTCAGATACAAAAGCAACCCACTACCCTACTTCTATATGTGTATAAATATCCTTTCTAAACCAGGGTGCTCTCCACACACTAAATATGCCCTTGTGACCACTTAAACACATTTAACAATTTTAACCCCACCCACAAAAAAAAAAAGCCTAGGAGAAGAAATCATTCCTCCTCCTCACTTCCCTGGGTATCTTTCTACCAGTTTTAACTTCCTTCAGTTCAGGTTTGGGATGCCATCTTTGGGGGTTTCAGGGATTTTCTGTGTTTTTTTTTTTTAGCCACATACATCTCCAGGGAGCATTTCTGCAGATATGGTCAGTTTATCAGGGAAAGACAACTGTTACATGACCCAGAGAAGACAGACACAACATGGGGAGCATCTCTGAGAGCAGTAAGACCCACAGAGCAGTTTTCCCAGTGCCTACCTCACCTTCCCAAGGCTTTACAAGAATCTTTATTGACATCCCTGCTGGGACTCCAGCTGTCTTTCACCTGAGCAGTAGCTGCACTTCCTCAAGTCTCCATCTCTCATGATCCCTTGGGATGAGACCATAAAGCTTTGAAGCATATCTCCAGTTTTCCAGCTGCTATCAACCAGCACGGGTCAGCTGAGACTGGTGGGAGAGGGAGGCAAGGAAGGGCAAGGGGAAAACTGCTCAGTGGTAGTGGAGCAAGAACTTTACACCAGCGGCTTGCTTTTCACATAGACAAGGTGAAATTCTGCCCTTTTGCTGGGAGCTGGTAGCTCAAAAGCAATGGGAAGATGCAGCTTAATCAAACAGTTTGTCCAGGTCTGCAAACCAATAACTTGCAGCTTCCAAAACCACAAAACAGCAATTAGTGGGAGGATTTCTGATGTCCTGGCACATAGCGAAGCATGACAGTACACAAATAAAATAAGAACTAGAAAATTAATTACAGGCTAAACAATTTAATTATGGGTCCTCAATCAATGCCGACACAAGCATAACCTCTTTCTCCTTACACCTCGGTATGAAAACAAATCAACCCAGCAGCAAAGACTTCCCACGTGCCATCTCTGACTCAAACCCATCCTTGGAGCTGCCTCCCGGGTCTTGCGCTCACCTCTGGTACCCTCCTAGTTATAAAATCAAAAGAAAGCTGAAACCCTCCGAAGATATATTCCTGGAAAGTTCCAGGAAAACAGTAACAACATCTACAGATTCCCTATTTAGAAGCAAAGTGCTCAGAAAAAAGACTGAGCACAAGCTACAGACCACAATCCCTGTTACCCCCTGCTCTGCAGACAGGGTGGAAAAAAATTTTAAAAGCCCCAACAACCTAGGGCCTTTATAAATAAACAAACTTATGTCAAAAACTACCCTGATGCCACTGGTGATTTCTTCACAGCTAATATAACTCATCGTTTGCTGAATGTTGTAACCAGGGGACTCAGCAAAGGCTGAGTCCGGTGTGTCCCTTCCCTCAAACACGGAGCAGTTAGCTGAGAAACTGCAGAAGGGTTTATTTTGTGCTCCAACGAGCCAGCAGCAGCCTTAATTCTTCACACGCTTTGGTCTTTTTTTAATCAGTGGCTCTTAGAAATCTGTATATTCAGAGTAGGAACATTTTATTGCATTTTTATTGAAAAAAAAAAAAAAGACAACCAACACTACCGCTTTTTCAAAGATTTGATTTGACATGATTCAAACCAGATGTTGCAAATTGAATGCTTTCGAATTTGGACGGCTGAGGACCAGTCAATGCCCACCATTTTTTAAACTGCTTGAGAGTGGAAAGTGCAGCTTGACAAAGCTTCTTGAGCTGCCACTGCCAGCAACTTTGCGCCGTTTTCCTGCCAAAACGTTTCTCTGCACCGACTTAGGGACCTGCCGCTGTGGGGACATGGCAGTGATGGTGTAAAGTAGGAAGGCAGGAGTTAGGTATCCATCCCAGTGGCGTTTAACCACCAGTAGGTTTACAACCAACACTTTGAATATACAGAAAAGACGTTCTTTCTTACCGACTGCAGGGAATGGCACAAACCTCTGGATCAAGAGACGAGTGGCTGGGGTAAACTTGTTTGCTCTCTGAACCAGAACGTTAAGGCCCACCTTTGAATAGAAAATAAAAAACAAAACAGAGAAGCAGAAACATTTAGCTACAAGGAGTAGGGCAGGTGCCACAGCTTGTAGACAGCAGCAGAGCTCTTCATGGGTTCTCTCCCCATGCAGAAGCATTTGAGAACTAAACCACCCCACACTGCAGAGGTTAGCCGTGTCGGGTTCAACCCTTCATTCAATGAAGAGTTGAACCCAACCATTGTGCTGAGCCCAACCGTTGGGTTTAACAGAAAGGTTGAACCCAAGCATTGGGTTTAAACCCTTTGCAGCCAAAAGACAGGCTAGAAACCACTGCAAAGCCATTTGGTCCTTCTGGAAATGCCCCTAGCTGCAGTTTTATCCAGTTCACTGACATTTTCCCCATCAAGCACAAAGTCATTGGAGCTGGGAGTCCTCATCCAGCTACAAAAAAGTTTCAGTGGTGGTGGCTGGCCCACCACAATCCATTCCTCCTCCCAGGGTCTGCACAAACTACACCACCCCAATCCAATGTAAACATTTGGGTTATAAAGGAGCTCTTAATAGAAACAAGAGATAGCACGCAGTTTATTATAATCATGGATCGTTTTTTGTTGCCTCCTCCAACACTTGAATAATGCAGAGCGCTCTGCTATTTTGCAGGGATCTAAGTCATTGCGTATGTTAATATAAACAGCACGGAGGAGAGTTGCTGCCTCGTCAGCCTCAGCATGGTTGGATAGTAGTGACAGTCGGAGAATTTCCATCAAAATTTGTTTCAAGCAGAAACTGGGGTTATTAATTAAACAAACCTATTCGCAGGGAATTACTTCTGTCTTCAAATTACTCTCCCCTACAATATTTTCTCTTTTTCATCCAAGAAAACCCAAACATGCAAACAAAACCCAACAGTCCCAAACTCGGAATTCTAGGCCGAAAATGGAAGTCTTTAGCAATGCCTGGCCAAAAAGTTTTCAGCCAAAAATGCAGCAAAATTAAAAAAAAAATCAGCCAAAGCCAAAAACCTGCCAGCAAATAGTGATTTGGGGGTTGAAAAAGAGAAAGAGAGAGAAAGAGAGAGAGAGAAAGAGAGAGAAAGAGAGAGAAAGAGAGAGAAAGAGAGAGAAAGAGAGAGAAAGAGAGAGAAAGAGAGAGAGAAAAAGAGAGAGAAAAAGAGAAAAAAGAAGAGAGGAGAAGGAAGGAAGAGAGGAGAAGGAAGGAAGAGAGGAGAAGGAAGGAAGAGAGGAGAAGGAAGGAAGAGAGGAGAAGGAAGAGAGAACAAAAAAGCAAAGCACGGGAGAACATATTTTGCAAGCTGCTACATTATACATGCATCTGCAGTGCATCTCGTCTTTTTGGAGGCTGAGAGGAAGATGTTGAGAAGCACAACTGCTGGGTAAGCCCTGCATAAGCAGAGTGCTGTTTTTCCAAAACCTGTGGAGTGTTTCCAGAGCCCCACAAGGCTTTCACCAGGACCCCAACAGGAACCCTTCCTCCTTTTGTTGGCCACCGCGACTCTAGCACTGAGCCCAAGAGAGCCACAGTGGTTCTTCTTAGTTTTGGCAAAAATTAAGGTTTTGTCTTAATCTTCTTCACCCCTAAAAATGACTGAATGATATTTTTATTTATTTTTTTTTTCATTTTCCAAGTTCTCAGATGCATATTTGCAAAATCTGAAGGCTTCCAGAAACTGTAAAGCAGTCTAAAATGGGTGCCTTTAAGAGTAAAGCTAAGACAGTCTTAAGTATGGCTTTGCTGGTGCTGCCCATGGATTTTGGTATTTATAGCCTGGATACAGCTCACCTGTGTAGATGACAGATTTTGTTGGGTTTCCAGGCTATGCTTGTAGGTTTGATGGAAGGAATTTACTGTGAAATGGAAGAGCAGCAGCTTTTGAAACAGAAAAGATGCAGCCGAGCCTGGGAGAGACACTGCTGTGAGGCTGGTGGTAATAAAAGCATTTTACTTTCAGATTCAATTTGCTGCTGCAGATGAACTCGCTCCTCCACTTACAGCAACTACCCCACTGTGAATATGAAATTAAATGTTGCTGTAGATTTAAATCCAATCTCCCAAATTCCCAACACAAGGACTAGATTTAGGAAACTAATGAGGGTTTGTTTTTTACAGTTTTCCAATTGCTTTAGCCTATCTGTGAACTCTTTCACGCAGGTCATGAAGTGGGATGAGGGTAAACAGGTCAAGGAGAGCATTCAACAACGAGCAGGTACTCCTCAACCTCAGACCACCGTAAGCAAAAGGGTCATCAACAAAGAGAGCTTAATAAATTTAATTCCTAGGGGCTGGCCAAAGCACTGAGGCAAATTCATCACTAAGAAAACAACCACAGGAGGAGTATTATTATCATCACCCTGCCTACAGCCTGAGTCACATATCTGGGATCTACAACACTGGTGCTGTACAAACACGTAACAGAGAGTCAGGTGGAATTCATCACACCAAATGTGGTAGAAACAGAATCATTCAGGTTGGAGAAGGCCTTTAAGATTGTTGAGTCCAACCATAAACCTAACATGGCCAAGTCCACCACTAAACCATGCCCCTAAGTGCCACTTATACGTCTTGTAAAGAGCTCCAGGGATGGTGATTCAATCACTTCCCTGGGCACCCTGTTCCAATGCTTGATAACCCTTTCAGTGAAGAAATTTTTCCTAATATCCAATCTAAGCCTCACCTGGTGCATCTTGAGGTTGCTTCCTCTCATCCTACGGGCTACCTTTGCAGCCCAGCACAGAGAAACGAGCCTTTTAAGGGTTTTTATTCTCCTCCCAAGACAGGTGCTCATGCAAAATGTCCCCAGCAGTGTCCGTTCATCCCTGCTGACTATCAAAGGAGTCCAGGGATGCAGCTCAGATGAAGATATTTACAGTGGTGATGTCTCAACTCTGGCAAGACCAGTGCTCCTCCTTGCAGCTGGGAGCTCTGGGCATGGATTTGCAGTACTGGTTTCAGTGCAGTAGTGGTTTGGGATATTCCTGCATTGTGACCCAGATTAGGGGACAAATCCAGGTTTTTCAAATTGCCTATTTTTTTGAGGTTTCTTTCTCCAGAGCACTTCCTCCATCTGTCTGACAGAGCATCCCAACAAGCCGGGGGAAGCTGGGCACAGGGGAGACATTACACTGTGACTGCTGCTAACATCCCGCAACACAAAACCAGGGCTGAACACTGTCAACGGGAGAGCAACCTTCCTCAGGGCTCTACTACACCTCCAGCAGCACCGTGCCCTTCCTCCCTCCCTCCCTCTTCTTCAAACACCAAGAATTCCTGCTATTCATTTTGCTTCTGGTTTTGTTTTCAGCATCAACAATGTTATCTCAGCAGAAGGACAGATTTTGCGGTGCTGCTGTACTTGAAGCTGTCACAGACGCTCACAGAGTAACCGTGCAATAATAAACCAAGATTTCCTTTTCCTTTTCTTTTCCTTCTCATCTCAAAAAGTTCTGACCTCATGTCTACCAAGACATGAATTTTATAAGCATGGGAATTTTTGAAAAAATTCCTGCTTCTCCCTCCCCTTTTACGACTATTAAAGATGTCTGAAGCCTGAAAGATGGCTTTTGAATGTCTGAAGTTGGCAACTACCAAGCCATTTGATAAAGGCCTAACTCTACACTTCTACACCTCTTAAACCAGTTTTAGAGCAGTAAATATATCAGCAGTTCAAGAAGTTATTTCAATTGATTTTAAGAGGGAATTTTTATAAAATAAAGGAATATTAGGAGTCTAGCAAGCAAGGTGGACATTGGTTGGTAGACGACGCCAACTAAATATCACTGAGCAGCTCTGTCGGCTTCATTAACTACATTGGTGAGATCTCCATGGATTTAAGGGATTCTGCTTTCCCAGGTTCCAGTAGCACTGGGGCAACCCTGACCATTGCAGGTGGAGCTAGCTGCTCCAAGTGACCTGTAAAGTCAACTTGGATGGAGGGACTGGCTCCAAAGAAGCTTATCCTTCAGCCCTCAAATCACCAGATTGCTGAACTAGAACACTAATTGGATCTGATGAGTCCCATACAGACAAACTGAAGAAAAGAGCATTAGGAGAAGGAAGGAAAAAAATAATTCATTAGGGCTAAGAGGTGAAGATGGAGGCAGAGGGATGGAAAACTGGGCTGTTTACCAACTGGAGCTTTACCAAGTCAAGGAGAACAGAATGGAGGAGTATAAGGGAAGGGAAAGCAATAACAATCTGAGTGGAGAAGGAAGTTAGAGAGGAGCGAGAGTAAGGAAAGGAGATAACTTGAGTCACACCCAAGATGATGGCGGAAGGGATGATGACCACAGTGGCCCCACAGTTGGATGCTTCAATGGAAGAAAATGGCATAGTCTTGAGAAAGAACCAATACTGCAGGAGAGGTATGAGTAGGAAAAGAGGGAATTAACGCTGATAATTAGACAAACTTGATCTGGCAGATGATAGATAAAGGAGGATGACAGGGTCCCATGCCCAAGACAAGAGGTTGTTGTTTCAACATCGTGTTTTCCACACATCTGGATCCTGTACAGAAGCAACACCACACCTGGGTGATGTGGAACTGGGCTGGGACAGAAGGAAAAGGCATGGATGAAAACAAATTTGCTGGAAACAAAGACACATCAGTGAACAAGAGAAAAAATGCTGCAGAGAAGAACAAGGAGTTTGGAAGGTGGCAGTCAGCGAGGACTCGGCGGTTGCCATGTACTCCTGAGCCCAGAGGCAGGGTGACAGGCACTGTGCTCCTCCTCAAAGCACACAATGTCTTGGCTTCCACTATACTAAAGGCTCAAGGCTGTGCCTTTGGCTGCTACAAGGCTGCTACAGCTCCAATGATTTGTGGGCTCGATGGAGGAATCGCTGGGCTGGGTTTCCAGTCTGAGTGATCATACCACTCTTCTGGCATCTTCTCATATCTGGACTTGGTATCTGTGAATCATTAGAGAAGAGGAGGTGCAGGAATGGGAGCTTTTGAGAATATGTATCCAGACTTTAGAGACAGGCACGGCTTCATTGAAAAACTTCAAGCAGCA